AAAAAAAAAACATAATTTTGTCCTAACAGTATAACTTAATATAACAAGATAGGATAATGTTGTGTGCTGCTAGTAGAGTAGTAGTAGTATGTATAACTAAACAGTGTTCAAGAAAAAAGTCCATTTAAAATTCTTTTCAATTTCCATTTGAAACCAATAACCCACCCTCAAAGTACTCCGTTTGAGAAGTGTGATCATTTACTGGAAAATTAAGAGAACTGATTTCTCGGAGCCAAGACAGCGCAATAGAATTTTACTCTTTGAGCGTTGAAAGCTTTGAGTTTCTGCAACATTGCTATAGAAAGACAATCAGGCGGCTATTTACACACCTTTACCTAGTTTTCAAATGTCTCTAGAAGATTTACGTGTTACATCTTTCATTTGTTTAAAAACTTTTCTAGATTGGGTAATAAGTGACGCTTTGCTCGCTTTTATATTAAGAAGAAAACAGGTAAAGTAGAACAATTTTCCTTATCACTCAACTAGATTCTATAATTAAACCTTTTATGTGAGAACAATATAATCTTGGAATCTGGAGCGTCCAGAGGCTCGTTTGCTTCAAAAATATAGTGAAGGCCCACAATTTCTTTCCCCCTCCAATTAAGTAAATTAATTATATTGGTCATTAATGCATTTTAGATTAAGCTCATATTTATATTATTGTTAATATAAGTTTAAGTACGTTTTCTGCTGTCACGCATACCTTTTATTACTATGTTTTCATTTCCACCTTGGTTGGTTGGAAGAGATAGCTATTTAGCCGCGGATGTCCTTATTTTTCATTAATTTTGTTACTGTTTTGTGAAAATAAACGATATTTTTATTTGTTGTTATAAATCAATTTCAAATGTCCTTCAGTCATATTTGCGACTTTAGTTTGCTTTCTTAGTTAGGGCGTGAAGGATAGACAAACAAACAGATATAGGCATTTATAATGTATTAGAATGGATTAAATATAATACGCCCTAGGAACAATAACTTTACTCGATTTCAAGTTGTACTTACTAATTGCGCAATTTGATCTACTGTTATATCATAGATCGTCAACTATGACGTACATTCTCAGTAGATTATAGATCCACTTCAATAAGTAGAGTCGAAGTTCCAAGCACTCATTTCAACCCGAGAATCTATTACGCGCCTCTGCAAATCCCTTTGCCATTATCGCTCATGTATAATCCTACATGTGTAGTGGGGGCGGCATCGCGCTTAAGTGATACTTGTATCAAAGAAATGGATTGCGGCAAAGATATAGTATCAAATAAATGCCAAACAACAAAGAGTTCGCCCTTGTCATGCGCCTGGACCATTAATCACTTTATTATTACACGTGGAAGTACAATATTGCCTTTTGACGATCGACGGCCTTTCGAAAATATAACAAAGGCTGTCTAACCAGAGTTAAATTAAAACGCGCAGGTAAACAGTAGAAAGAATGTTCTTGAACGTCTTATTACATTTACATATACTTGTTTAAACATGTTTAAAAAGATATGCAATGTCCAATAATTAAGATTTTCTGAGCCCTTAATTTAAGATCTCGTAGATATAAATTTAAGAGACTAAAAACAGAGATATCCTTTTCTCATCAAGGTATTGGTTAATTCGAACCCAAGACTCCTTTCTGATTGTAAAAACGTAAGGGTTATTGAAAAAATTACATTATACAAGATAATTACCATGTATTTTATTAATTGTGTATATAATACTATCTGTAATAAGTTTCTATAAAAACGAAAGGATTCGAACCACCTTTCAGTTACTAAATTGTTCGCAAGTCCCTCACATTGAAAACTGAGCAAGTTCCTAGCGCAGACCCTTCAAACGGTCTTTATCGGGCCATAAAACTTTTTTATGTTGCAAGAACTTTTGTTCGAAGCCCTAAGCTGTGTGATGGTCACTTTTGAAAATTATTTTCCTAGTCCAACTCGAAGTTTTGCCTCACTTTTCGCTGTAGGCGTCAACGATAAAATATACTTTTTATGTATTGAATAAATTCTGTTATGATCCCTTTTTCTTTTACCGAGACTTTCCGGAGTAATAATACGATAATCTGCGAGCGAATGCCTTCAATAAGTCGACCCTTTTCATTCTTTCAAATCGTCTGCGGCATTTGATGAATTTCACATGAATTTTGTATGAACAATTCTACGGCTTGAGTCATTATACATTACTCCGAAAATTATAAAATTTTCGGATGTTGATGCACATAATATTATACATTGTATTTCTTCCTATTTGCTTCAAATGTAAAGTTTAATCAATGGTATATATAATGTCTATAGTTTACGCGAGTAGTACACATTTAAATAAAACACTTTAACGGTTTAAAACTCGATATATTAGTTAAACTTATTTGGAAATGATTTTTAACTTCGGCCCGACGTTTCGGATGCTTTGCAGCATCCGTGGTCACATGGAGACGGGGAAACGTAGGGCCGATGTTAAAAATCACTTCCAAATAAGTTTAACTAATATATCGAGTTTTAAACCGTTAAAGTGTTTTATTTAAATGGGATATATTCCAGTTTATAATTGCCTTTGTTTTTCACGATGCTCTCTAGTACCTATCTTTAGTCCTTTTTAACTTTTACATTTGGTTGCCTGCAAGAGATCGCTGTTTAGCGATAAGGCCGCCTTTTATTTATTAGCTAGTTACAAGTTTTTATTAATGTAAATCATTCATGTGGTGTTTATAATTCATAAAGTGTTATAACATATATTTATAGAAAAAAAAACACAACCGTCGTTGAAGTTTTAAAATGAAATACATTCAAAGGTAAACAAAAAACAAATCAAACTCCTTAGTACGTAAAGTTATAACAAACTGAATTCGTAAACTTCACGGAGTCGAGATTAGCTCGTAGAATGGCACACGAGTAAATCCAACGCTATTTTAAGTTTAATAACTACCGACGACATTTTCCATTTAATGGCCCCCAGCTGACTTATTTTATGATAATTACTTCAATTATACAATATTCCGATTCATGCGCCTGTTGTAAATCAGCTGTAAATATAGAGCTGTTCAAGCGAGCAGAATTATTATCACTCCACCCCCCCGCTCCATTCTAAAAAGTAAGCTATACCATCAGGGGTGCGTGACCATTACTTTCGTATTGATTTATAAGCCACAATTGAGATTCGCAGTTTTCCTCATATAATAATAGAATGAGGAAAAAATTCCTTGTCTAAATATTTCTAAGTATAGACGATGTATCTGTTAAAGGTATTAAAAATAAACTATTCATATCGTTATCAATATCAAGTCATAAACAACTTAGCTCTAAGTAGGCGTACAGATGTAACATGATAGTTAAAAGGGCCCTAAGACGTCTGTTAATGCTGGTCTATATAATGTTAGGTCCGTCCTAAACCCCAGTCTAATGAACTAGAAATTTCATCAGGAATACTAGTTTTACACATCAGTAATACTAATCTAATCCATATTTTGTGCTAATATTATTGGCCCGTATTTCAATATAGATGCATCAATACCTGCCCTAGATTGCTAACGAGCATAAAATTATAGATGACTGAATGTAAATAATAAGGATATGTATGGTAATCTATACTAATATATAAAGCTGAACAAACTTGTTTGTCTGTTTGAACGCGCTAATCTTAGGAACTACTGGTTCGAATTGAAAAATTAATTTTTGTGTTGTTTAGGGTATCGAGGAAGGCTACAAAAAGTCTATAAAACGCTCTATTCCTAATGTGGAAATAGCGGGCAATGTGAAAAAAACAGGGATATCAATTCTTAACTTTGTGAGTTAACAAATTTTGACGCACAAAATAACTATTCTACACGGACGAAGTCGCTGACACAGGTAGTATTATTAAACGAGTAGACGAGTTGTATTTTATAAGTCTGAACCTAATTTTTAACACACTAATATGGAAGTAGGAAAGATTCATACGAAATAATGTTAAGTTTCCGTATCTAGAAATGTGTACTCGAAGTTCCCCTATTCTACACTACTTACAACTCGCTACGTTTCCATTGAAAATAAGTTCGAGAACTATATCAAAGTAGAACTGAAATCTCATTTTCAAACCAAAGCAGGTGCTCTGGTATAGCTGAATCAGTGCGGTGAAAGCTTTTATGAGAATAAACAGGGTGTGAAGTATTTGTTTCAAGAAATCGTAGCTTTTAATTTCTTTGTTCAATATATATTTGAGACTAATTTTTAACGAGCTCAGGATATATACCTAACAAAACAGTATTCTAAAATAAAAAGTACTTTAAATTAAATAAGAGACTTCTTTATATGTCAAACCTAGGAATTAGTTAAAGGCCGATTATGTATTTGAATCCTTATCACCTTCACGACAATTTTGACAGTTGTCAAAATAATTTATTCGATAATTTAAATCTAAAATTCATTCACAGATAAAGTACGTATTTTTGCGCTGTGGTTAGAAAAGGTTGGAACACGATATTGTTACCAAGTAGAACCTTATGGGATTATTTTTCATTGGAGACAAAAACTTCGTTCCGGTCTGATTGCGGCTTGGTCAACCATTTTTTTATCTTCTTGACGGGTAATGACCTTGTTTGATTTGAATAAAATTATATGTAAGAGACGATCAGACTTTATTAACATAAACCAACTGTTACTGTATTTGGCAAACGAAATAATCTTTTTCTTAAGACCCCTGAATATTAAATGATAAATTCTAATATTTTGAAGATGTTGTTGTTTTATTTTACATTTTCCCATTTATTGTAACTTCGTTTGTATTTATTTAACTCTTTAATGCAACATACACAAAGTACAATAATTCGGGAAAAAAATATTTTTAATAGAAGCAATATATGGCCTTGGTTTCAAGTAGATGCCCACGGTGTTCCCACCACCAAGACACACTAAATAATAAATCTCTTACTATTTTATATTCTTTGTTATTAACAATTAAATCTACTCATCCTAATAATAACTTTACGATGTTAGAATAATATTATATAAATATAATGAAAAGAAGAAAATTTTCTTTTAGAAGTACATCGTTAAATAGGACTGCAAGTCGTAGATTCGTAGCGTGCTGTTGGGAGCGATTTCGTGGTTGGATGGGCGATACACACCGTTGGTCACCGACAATGCTCGTCCGGGCACTGCCCTCGGAATGCGTCTCCAAACGTCGACCAAGCCCGTACTGCTCCGACTCTTTTCATAACTTAATCCATCCACAATGGACATGGTTCATTCATTTACGGATTTTCATTTCTGTATTATTGGTATATTATTCTTTTAGCTCTCTTATGGTTGCCACCGCTGGGAGACGGGTCTTCTATGTACGGGTCTGCTACTACTTCAAGTCACTTCTATGCTAGATACTTGTGCTGGCCTATGACAAATTATCGGTTTTTTTTGGTTATAAGGGCCAATGCGCACCAAGCGGTTACCCAAAATGTGGTTAGCAACAACCTTTACTAATAGTATAAAGCTGACGCCTTTTTGTGTTTGAATGCGCTAATCTCATGACCTACTGCTTCGAATTAAAAAAATATTTCTGTGTTGGTTGGAGCATTTATTGAGAAAGGCTTTAGTCTATAAACTATAGGCTGCGACAAATAGGAGCGAAGATACAATGGAAAATGTGGAAAGGGGAATTATTTATCCTTTTTTATTATAAAGAATAATCCCTCCTTTAAATTACCTAAAAATGTCACCGCCACAGTAGAACTTGCAAGCACCGTTGCTATGGTAATAAACTTTGGTCGAAATAATTCATATGGCAAAAGAATATTGGCCAGCCAGAAAAAAATAATCAAAAGTGACGTTTTTACAAGTTACAGACAGGGGGTTAGCGGTACATCGCCTGGTGTGTACGTGCCCTAAGAACGGTTTGCTCACAATGTATTCAGTCCCTGGAAAGTACTCTGCTTATATGTCACAATGTACACATAGAGAATGATTTTGTAGCAATACAGAACATTGGACTTCGACGAAACGTTATAATATTAAATAGTAATATTTAGTTATAATAACAAGACGTTGAACAGGACAGATTTCAATATAACGCGAATTGATAAAGTATTTTGATTTTAAACAATTTTAAAAAGTGTTTTATATAATAACGAAAACTCGTGTAAACTATAGACTTAATAACCAGTCACTTTGATATCTGCCTAGCTTCTATAGAAATACGAATTAAAATCAAATAAGAGCTTAGTATACATTTTAGTTTTGTCCGTAACTAATATGTAATTTATTGCGGTATAGTGGAACCACGAAACAATGATGGGTATATTTTTTGTTCAAACTTCACGGCTACGCTTTGATTACTTTCAACTTTCCAAAATGCATCACACTTTATTTATATTTCATGAATTATAATTTTCCTGTTAACACGATAAGTCTGATTAATTTAAAAACATAATGTCGAAAGTAAGTGAAAGAAAGAGTTAAAATAATAATTAGTCTTATATTGTTGTGAGAAAGTTGTAATTTACGCATTACATAAATGTCACATGTTACTTACAGAAACTATAGAACCTTCCAAAAAATATGTTTTAGTTTTCTATTAGGGGGCAGTACAGACAAGTAAGGTGTCTTATTGACATACGCTGTCTACTTAGCTTTGTATGTTTGAAAACGCTCCTTTTTGAACTCATTGTAACGTGAATATCTTCTTAGATTGATGTCCCTATTTTATTTATAGACAACCCCACAAACCTTGAAACGCGCATGGCTCATTTTACAGTCAAGCAGATACACTGAAAAGATTAAAATTAAAAAGTATATTTCTTTTCTATTTTGTTGTTTATTCTATATTACACATAGTTTTTTTTGACAGAAGAGGACAGTAGTATGAGGTTATATTGATGAAAGACACCCGCGTAATTATCATACGTTTTGATAGTCTGTAGTCTATAGTATTTAGTCTGTAGATAGAAAGTGTCTTAGAGATAGTCTGTAGTAGTTGAGATAGTCAGTCTCCCCGTGACCACGGCTGCTGCAAAGCATCCAAAACGTCGGGCCGAAGTTAAAAATCCTTTTCAAATAAGTTTAACTAATATATCGCGTTTTAAACCGTTAAAGTGTTTTATTTAAACGTTGAGATAAGTAAAAAAAATGATTTACACGTGCTGAAACTGATAGAAATCGAATATACATTGCTACTAAAACACATATTTACATTACTTAAGACTACTAATATTATTTAACACAGAGCACCAACCTTCTCTCTCTGTGTGATCTCTCGAAAATTCTTATTACTTCATTATATGAAAAATGTAGTGCACAGATGGCACAACTTTCCGTAACATAGAGCGATTATGATTCGACGAACCATACAGAGGAACGTCTTTAATAAGAGCTCTTCGTTGTAAAGTTCTGCTCTGTTTCGTAGCGTACTGTGGCTTTAAACTTTATTGTGCGATTACAGTTTACAAAATACGGTGATAATATGCAGATATATAAGAACCAGTGGTATAAAATAAAATATCTGACAAGAAAAATTCCAGTCGATTTTTTTATTGAATTATACAGAATATTTTTCGCTATTTTTTAAACTATCTAAATTATTTTTGATGTTTTCACTTTTGTAATATTTATATTAGGTCATTGATATTAGGTCCTGTTTTCGTCCGCATAGAATAGTTTGTTATTTTGGGCATCAAGTTTTGTATTTTGCAAACATATTTACAAATTAATATCCGTTACCCACGGCCACGCGTCACCCGCATTCCATAATTCTTACAAGATTAAAAGATAGATCTATACTGTCATGGAGATTTTTTTAGATCATTTAAAGTTTTATTACGTATTTTTTGGGAATTTAGGACCGTGTAGAGTTTTTATTCACATTTCTCACCTATCTATTTTTTCTTTCGCTGCTATCAGTTGTAGAGGTTTTATATTATATATAGATAAGTGCTCTAACCAACACAGAATATATTTTTTCAATTAAACCAGTAGTTTGTGCGATTAGCGCGGTCAAACAAACAATCAAAAAACTCTTCAGCTTTATAATATTAATATAGATTCGTCTTGAATGATTGACTGATAAGAACGGTAACGGAACATGGAGCACATGTTCTTAATAATTCGATAGGACCAGAATAAGATTTTCCCAAAGCGATTACCGATTCATTTAAGTGCTTACACCTCTATAAAAGTTTAAAATTGGTTGACAGTTAAAAAGTAACATAGCACTGAGGGCTATCTATAGTCATACTATGTTCCACAGAGTATATACCAAATAAATAAGGCACCACGGGCATCGGCCGTGAATCACGAATCGTCATGGACGTCGTTTGTAATAGCCTCACGGTTGGATGCAGCCGTAACCGATCCCGATAATGAGCACCAATACAGCGGAATCGACCTCACAACATCGCCACAGCCTAAAAAGACAGCTACTTCAGTTTAAACTTTACACTGGCTACACGTTCCTGCTTTTACACTGTGACATCTCAATCTAGCAAAATTCATTAGAACAAGACCATTTTTTTTGACAAGACAATTGAATTTAACGAAGCCTATTTACATTTATACATAAAAAACATTAATTTTGAACGTTTCATTTTAATAGGTTGCTACGTTATTGAAGCAAAGTCTATGAGAGTACAATTTTACTTTTTGACGGGGTCATTGGTGTAATGGGTAGCACTGTATTGCTAATAATCAACTGAATTGATCCCCCCTAAGTCCAACTTGTTTCTAATTCTTCGATTTATAATTTTTCTGTAACATGTTGGACTTTGTCTGGAAATCTGGATATTAAATGGCCGCGAAGCTTAATCGCGTTTCGGTTTCAGTCTGTGGATTTCCGAATACCCAAAGCCAAAATAGGTCGACAACGCATTTTGTTTAGATGTTATAGGCTGGGGTATGTCACCTGCCATCAAGTAAACCACATGCCTGCCTATAATCCTCTATTATTAAAATAAACTACTTTCTACTACGATTTTTAACCTTTCCCACGTTTATTAGTTAACAGCTAGTAGCTAAACGAGAGTTTATAATACAAGTATTCAGACCCGAGTCCCAGCTGTGGGAATAGTTAAATAGCTAATGATAAACCATTTTGTACAACTAGACTGGGGTTTTCCGCTGCGACGCGACGCTAAACGCTTTCCTCCGACGCCTGTTCGTTCGACTGAAAAAATGGGGCGCTCGTTCTATAGCAATGAATCTTTAGGTACTTCGAGTTCTTTTTTAAATGCTTTATAAACATTTTTCATATCACTTAATCGGTTAAGCTCCCCCTTTAATATTAAAGGTAGAATATCGAAATATAATACGTAACATTGCTATCCAATGCTTAACAAATCTGCGTCTTTATATCTTCACATAAAGTATAGATGCATTGTATTTCTTAACAAAAGTATGAAGAAATGAAAAAGGAACTTTATTGAATTTAACGTTAGTTTTATAAATTATATCATTAAATGTAATATCTATACTCGTGCTGAAATTGTAAAATCGAAGATATTGTTTGTTTAAACACACTATTATGAACTGTTTGAATAGAAAAATTCTTTTGTGTTGGTTACAGGAAGACATATGTCTATCGTTCTAAATTCGCAAGAACACTTTTCGGTAATTAAATTTAGTTGTCAAAAGTTTTATTAGCAATTATTTAGTTTGCCGTATCAGCTAGTATTTAAAAAAAGTATAGCTGTATTGGTACATGGTTAATTAAATTTAATGAATATTGGCTTTAATTAAAAATTGAGCCCTTGTGTTTCCACGGGCAATTGGGGTAGTCTGATTGATGTGTCCTTGTTTTGGGACAACGTCATCAATCAGCTGGACCTAATCGTCCGATCGATCTCTCACTACGGCTCTTAAATTGATTGCACGCTCTAAGCAAATAGATCGTCTAATTTAGTTTCAGCTCATAATAGAAGATGAAGAACGTTATTGTCATCAATAGCCAAGGTGGTACTAGTAGGCGCGAAAAGAAAATTCGCGTTACGGCTTGAGTCAGTAGATTTCCGAATGTACCGAAAAATACGTTGACAATTATGGAGGTAAGGCATTTCGACTGCCACTAAATTAAACCCACACGCAAGTCTACCCACTTGTACCCAAAAGAAATTAACTTTCATAGACCATTCGACCTAGAGTTGTACAGACAAACTTACGAAGAAGAAGAAGAAACATTACAATTTTTCACTAATACATTCAACATTCAGCTTGGAAAAAATACATAAAGCTAAAGTAAAGTTAAGTAAAGATAGACATTT